GTTGTGATCATGAATGATTGAAGGGAACATACGGAACTGTGTTCTTGAAGATACTGATGTTCTAGAGTACATTTAAACCACTGTCTTGGAGGGGCATAAAACAATAGCAGCTGCCTCATTTTTGCATGGGTAGTATTGAGTGATTCAAAAAGATCAGTTTATATGTAGTCAAACATGCTAAAATTCATTAGGAAAAATGTTCATTGTACATATTTTATACCAAGATTATTTTTGGAGTTTCTAGGAACTATTGGAATTTCAATTGGGCAAAAAGCTTCTTCAGCTCTAGGGTTGATCTGTGTATCAGAAGTTACATCTTAGTACATATAATTTCACAGTGGTTGACCATCAGGTTAAAAATAGTCTGGTTGACCACACACAGTGTAACTTTTTACTTTTTTTTTTTTTTTTTTTAATTAAAATTTAGCTGTCCCTATACCCACAAAAACATTTGTTAAGGTCAGCACTGATGGACACCAAGATGAGGGGACAGAGTTAAGGGGTTCAATAAATCACTTCTATGGAAAAGACAAAGTGTTTCATAATTTTTATGGGGAGTGTTTCACAAATAATAGCTAATGCAGCTGAAACTAGTGGTTGGCAATCATTCTAGCTGCGTAAAGATCCTAAGTTTTCATAGAAAAAGGGAAGTAGTCTCCCTTTTTCAGACAATGTGTTACTGAATGGATAGCAGAGTTCTTTCAGCTGTGTAATGGAGTTGGACTCAATAATCCATTTCTAGATTTTTTTGTTGCTTTTCCTCCAAGTACAATGTGTTTTTGAAGAGGAGAAATTAGTATCTATGTTTTAGCGATTTGTAAGGACTACTGGAGGATGCGTTGCAGCAATGAAGTCTGATAGATATAAAACAAACAAGAGGAACCTGGAAGTTACATGCTAAGAGGCTTCCATAGTCTGTTATTTGCTTGTTTCCTTAACTCATCAGTACCCCTGGGTCTTGCTATGAATTAACAGATTCGTTGTTGTTGTTGTTGTTGTTGTTGTTGTTGTTGTTAATCTGTTCTTTAAAAAACAAAAGCAAAAAAACTTAAATATCAATGTATAGATTTTCAATGCTTAAATCAAAATCCAGTGTTACTTGGTATTGGTCATATGCTAGTATTTTTAATGTGGAATCCTTTTTGGATATAAATGCCATTTCTCTGATATGTGTTGCGGTAAGACAACCAAGTAGACCTCAGAGGTGTGTGAGTGTCCTAGTAGGTTTTTTGTGTTTTGTATTTTTAGTGCATAACTATGCAGACAGTGATGTAGTGTGTGTGCTCTGATGAGCTACTCTGGTTGTGGTGCTGTAATGTCTTATACCATCGTTCACACCTCATCATTTGCTTTCCTTTGTGACTACTGAGTGTTGTACATAAATACATTCCAGTACACAAAGTGTATTTGGTATGTGCTGTTCAGCTGACATCTCACTGAGTACTCTGTAATGAATTATATTTTTAATGTAATATTATTATATTTTTGAGGGGTAGGAAAAAGAAAAATCAAAAATTGTAAAAATATTGCAGCAGTTGCATTGTAACTGTGGCAGAGCATATGAATTGAGTTGACACATTCTGAGCAAAGATTTATACACTGATTTGTGTAATCTTTATTCCTGAAGTAGATCACTTGCCTCAGGTGCTTGTAGAATTACACCTTCCCTTTAAACTGCTTGAGATTTTTCACAAGATTACTTTTGTGAGGAAACCCTGCAATATTGAGATACACTTAATGTGAGTAGATACTACTGCTTTTGTCTCACAGATTAACTGCTTGCCCATATATTGATTTGCTTCTTCAAAGTAAATGAAAAATATTAGCCTCTGTGGGTTAAAAAGCACTTACAGATTAAACTGTTTCTTTTTTCATGGCATGGAAAGAGCCATGGTCTTCCCTGGATCCTTCTCATTTGTTCAGGGAATCAAGATGAAAGGAGAACTTTGATTGATTACTTTCACAAATACTAAGACTCTAATGTGTGATTAATAGGTAATTTCTGGATATTTATTATCATATTACAAACATATGCTTTTTATAGTTGTCACTGTAAGAATGTCAATAAGGATCTTTAACTTCTTTTTCCTTAGTTTGGTATTTTTTGACAGCCTAGTCTCTGAAGAGCTAAGTGTAATTGCTGCATAAAAAAGGTCAAGCAAATCTTAGTTAAAAAGTAGACTAAAACTAGATTGAGAGGTCTTTTCATAGTAGAATAGGTAAGGAGTACACATAGAGAAATAAAATCCGATTAGGATTTACCACCTTTTAAGGTTTTTTTCTAGCAGGGAAACATTTCCATAAGATGTCTGCTAGAAGAGTAGTGTGCCCATGATAGCTGTCCTGCAGAAAAACTCTTCAGTCAGCAGGATGGGAATCAGATGAATGGAAGAAATGGCAGCACAGTGATGGGCAGAGGGGGTAAAAACAAAATAAAAAGGTGCAAATAGACCTTGCAGTGCAAGTAGACTAGTAGATTTGCAAGTAGAAAGAACACAGATAGTAAAGACAAAGCCTAAAGGAGAAGATGATTTGAAGTGCATTACGGAAGAGACATGTATATTTTGGACTTAAATGAGATGCATGGGAAAAAAGTTAATATTCTTTAAAACCAATTTGCCTCATTTTTGACTCGCTTTCTTTTTCTTCCCAAGAGGATATATGCCGAACCCTTGTAGGAGATGTGACTGCCAGCTGGCACAACACCTTTTAAAGAGATCTTATGTTTTCTGAATCTGACAACATTTGTCACATCTGTATATAACAGACAACTATTTGTACTATCTGTTAAACTGCATTTTAATATTTGAGATTCGTCATCAACCTGTAAAAAATGATCAAGCTATTGAAAGCTGTCAGTAACACCAAAAGTGTTTAGTTTTGTGAGCTCTGTGGGTTTGTGCTTTTGATTTTTGTTAATTTACGTATTTATATTTTTTGTAGAATTGCTGAGATTGGAGGGGACATTAAAGATCATCTAGTTCTAACTCTTCTTCTATGGTCAGGGTTGACACTCACTAGATCAAACTGCCCAGGTCCCCATCCAGCCTGATCTTAAACACCTCTAGAGATGATGCATCCACAACTTCTTCTTGTTCCAGTGCCTCACCAGCCTCTGAGTAAAGAATTTCTTCCTAACATATAACCTAAATTTTCCCTCTGTTAGTTTAAAGCCATTCCCCCTTGTTTTATCACTATCAGACTGTGTAAAAAGTTGGTCTCTCTCCTTCATGTACTGGGAAGGAGGAGTTCTTTGATATTAACTCCATCAACATCTATGATTCATCTTACAGGTTGGAGAAATGGGCCCATGAAAACCCTAATGAGGTTCAACAAGGCCAAGTGCAAAGTGCTGCACTTGGGCCTGAGCAGTCGCAGGTGTTTGTACAACCTGTGGGGGTAGAACTCCTTGGGAGCAGATCTGTGGAGAAGGACTTGGGAGTCCTGGTAGATTAGAAGCTGGACGTGAGCCGGCAATGTGTGCCTGCAGCCCAGAAGGCCAACTGCGTTCTAAGCTGCATTAAAAAAGGGGTCGCCAGCAGGGAGAGGGAGGTGATTGTCCCCCTCTACTTGGCTCTTGTGAGGCCCCATCTGCAATACTGCATCCAGGCCTGGGGCCTCCAGTACAGGAAGGATTATGGTGCTCTTGGAGCGGGTCCAGAGTAGGCCACTAAGATAATCAAAGAACTGGATCACCTCTCCTATGAGGAAAAGTTGAGGGAACTGGGATTGTTTAGTTTGGAGAAGAGAAGGCTCCAGGGAGACTTCATTGTGGCCTTCCAATACTTGAAGGAAGCATATAAACATGAGGAGGAATGGCTGTTTACGAGGGTGGATAGTGATAGGATAAGGGGGAATGGTCTTAAACTGAGACAAAGGAAGTTTAAGTTAGATATTAGGAGGAAGTTTTTCACACAGAGGTTGGTGACACACTGGAACAGGTTGCCCAAGGAGGTTGTGGATGCCCCATCCCTGGATGCATTCAAAGCTAGGCTGGACGTGGCTCTGGGCAGCCTGGTCTGGTGGTTGGTGACCCTGCACATAGCAGGGCTGTTGAAACTAGACAAAATGTCTAGTTTTTACGTCCTTTTCAACCCAGACCATTCTATGGTTCTATGACTCATCTTCTTCCTTTGTTTTAAAACTGTATTAAGAGGAGTTTGAAATAAATCCTTTGTGATAATAGTAGGAATACATCGTTAAATAGTGTTAAAATGAGAGGCAGTACTGCTCAGTGTACTGGCTCTAATTTTACTGCGGTAGAGACCTGAAATGGTTAACTACATTAACATACCATATTAAATATTTGTCCTACTACACAAAATTTAGTGTAGGTATCTTGGGAGTAGATTGGATTCTCCTGTTGTGTTTTTGCCTGCTGTAACGTATTTTTAAAGCTAACTTACGGAGAGCATCCAGGGAGCTCTTCTAGTAGCAGGCGGACCAGCTTTTGCAGAGTTTGAGTGATGGCAAGCAGCCTGTTTATGTTAATCCAGTGCTATAAAGTACCTCCTCTGATTAGAGGTAAAACGGCCGCTGCAATGTGGGAGCTACTGCTTCTGCATGGGTCTGTTTCAGTTTGCACCAACTGCAACTCTATGCTTTCATTCATTTCCATCTACTTTCCGTTCACTTTCACTGACTCAGTTTTTGTAAACATTAGCGGCCATTGCTTGATGTTAATGTAAGTCTCATTGGAGGTGGAAAGAAAAAAGTTTTGTTCTGATTACAATTCCAGAATGTGGAAAATTAATTCCATTAGAGGAGAAAAAGCTAATATTAACGTACAATAACAGTGAGAAACTGCACAGAAAGCCGAATTGAGATGTACTGTGTATGTGTGTGTGTGAGTAGATACATATATGTAATGTTGAAAAGTTTAATTTCTATGAAATCGATTAGTGTTTTGCTGAATTTTCAGTTAATATGTTTTCTGGGGTTTTGTTTTGTTTTTTTTTTTGTTTTTCTTTTTTTTTTTTTTTTCTTTTTCTTTTTTTCAGCTTTTCGATGTAGCCTCCAGTTTCTTGGAAACATTGCAGCAGGAAATGGAGATTCCCAGAATAGCATTTGGAAGTGTGCTTTCCCAGATCTCTTCTTGTAAGCATGGATGCGGCTTTTTTTATAATGTAATTTCTGTGGTTTTATTCAAATCTTTTGTACACGACAGTTGTGCTTCTTCTAGCACCATAAAGCTTTGAAAAATAACTTTGGGGAAAATAGAGCGGTTGAGACCATATCCTGTAGATGTTTTTTTTTGTTAGTCAACCACAGGGGTCAGGACCTTTGAAAACCTGTTTGTTATAAAATGACAGTAAATTGATTTTATTTGACACAAACTGGAAGAAAATTATGTTTAAATAATGAGCTTCAAGCATAAGCTTTATTTCAGAGGTATTTTCAAGTAGTTATACACTGCTTGTTTCCAAGAATGTGACTTCTCTTTCATTCACATTGCTTATGTATAGACCAGTCAGTTATTTGTGGATTAGATGGGATCTACAAAAAGTGGCTTAATATCTGTGTCTTCCGTTCCCTTTGCCATTCATCCTAGCCTTAATGAAATACGTTTCTGGAGATTGATGATGTGGCATGAAACATTACATAAACCATTTTGTGTGGACACATGACAATATTTTTGGTGTAGTTGGCCAAATCTTTCACAATAAGCCGCTGATAAAGGCATATTCGTTGAATTTGGTGCTCAGGATGAGTGTATGTTTAGAGTCCGCTTGTCAGAGGATTGTATGGTAATAGATACAGGTTATTATTATTATTTCATTCAATTCCTAAATTTCTAGTTAGTTCAGATATTGTACTAGTATTATAAATCACATCTTAAGTTTGACTTCCAGTTTCAGATTTTCTTTCTTTGCAGTTGACTTTATATCTCTTGAGCTACGGCAAACTCATGATTCTCTGAAAGACAGCAGACAAGAACAAATAAACAAGCTGAATGTCCTTAAGTGTGTTTTTCCAGCATCAGTTTTAACTTACTGTCTTAACTATTCGTTTTCTCTTGAAGAACCTGCCTAACCTACAGTGATGAGAAAATTGTTGCCTACTGTTGTATGGTCTTATTTACCTGCCTTAATTCAGAGAAAGTGAAGGAACTGATGGATCCTGGGAACTTGTCTGTGGCTCTTCACATCATAAAAGTCTACAAAGAACGACTGGAGTCTGAGTGGCCGTATGTATCTTTTAGACATTTTTTCCTCTTAAATAAGTGTTTTAGTAGCATCAATCTCTCTGTGAAAGTGTCTGAATTTGTGGCTCTGAAAAGTAGTAAATGATGATCTGTATGTAAGTTACTAATTTGGTCTCAGTTTCTTCTCATAAACTTATACTGACTCATTTAATTTCCCTTAAACTAAGACTGTCTTTGTTGAGGATGTAAACAGGAGTTGTAGACTCAGTGGAGTCTTCTAAATTTCATTTTCTTAAAACTAATCGGTGGGTTTATTCCATCAAGCTTTGAATTTTTTGCTAATGGCTATTTCTGTAAATATTTCTGTCACTTATGCATTTGAGAAATGCTGTGTTTGTCAACAAGGATATGCACAATAATTCAGGGTTTTTTTTTAATATGAGAAAAATACTGGATAAAAGAGGATTATTAAAACAAAACTCCATATACTTTTTTATTTTTCTCTTGAAGGACATGTTTAAAGTAAAAATTTAATTAGGAAAAATTATCAAGGTTTAAATAGATATTTAGAAACTCCGTTTTCCTTGCATTAGTACTGAAAAAAAAATTACTTAATATTTTTTTTTTGGGGGGGATGGTCTTTTTTCCTAACCAGGTCAGTTTGCATAGGACATAAGTAGTTTGCAGAAAGGAAACTTAGTTTTAGGATCAGGTGACTAGACTTCCATTTCAAAAGTGACAAACCGAATCATTAGTTTTGGCCACAGTCAGTAGAAGTACGTGTGAAACAGATGACTTTTCAGGTAATTATCTTGATTATCCTTTGTTTTCTTTATGTGTTGAAGATAATGTTTTAACTAAGATATGAAAGCCAAGAAATCACCAAGATTAGAAAAGACCCCTAAGGTCATCCAGACCAACCATCCACATTTCACTAATATTTGCTAGTAAAGCATATCCCTCAGTGCAGCATCTAAGTGTTTCTTGAACACCTCCAGGGTTGATGACTCCACCACCAGCCCATTTCACTGCCTGACCTCTCTCTCAGGGAAGAAGTAGTAATTCCTGACGTCCAACCTGGATCTCTGTTAGTGCAACGTGAGGCCAGTTCCCTCTAGTCCCATTACTAGTTACATGGGAGAACAGGCCAACTCCTACCTCATCACAGCCTCATTTTGGGTAGCTGTAGAAAGCGATAAGGTCACCACCTGAGCTTCCTCTTCTCCAGATCTAAATAGTCTTACTCTTCTCCAGATTTTAAGTAGTTTCGAGCACTCCTCATAAGGCTTGTGTTATCACTGGTTACTCACCAGCCTTGTTGCCCTTCTCTGAACTTTTTTTCTTACTCCACTTAGCCACTGTATGAACATTAATATCATGCTTTGATCTTACATCATACAGTGCAACATGTGGACATAAGTATGTGGCTATAAAAGTATCTCTGAAGACAGTATTCTGAGTACTGAAAGATGTGGGAAAGCCTAGCAAATTAGTATTCTTGTTTTGAGTAGTACAATTGCTATATATATATGTATATATATATATTATTATTTTTTTGCAATATCTGTATTGCAAACTAGCAAGAGGTATTTTTGTTTGTCTTTTTTGGTAGTATCAATATAGAATGTTTCTCTTAGGCAACAAGTTGTTCTTTAGCTTTAAATACAGATGTTATTAACTTACTAATCTTATGAATCTGGATATTTTTTCACAAGAAAACAAGTTGTATTTTAGATTCTGCTTTACTTCCTGCCACTTTCTATAATTTTGTGATCTGTGAAGCGCATAGTACAAGAGCATTATTATACCTGATGTAATACAACCAAACTTTCTTGCCTAAAAATTTCTCTTCATTATCTAGAGTATGAGAATATTATTTGTCTTGAGGATAGTCCTAAGGTGGACCTGAAAGCCAGTTTCATTTTTTACTGCTGATTTTCCTCCTGTTAAATAAATGTGAATGGATATATTCATATAATACTAAGATGATATCAGGTTAATTTTTTTCTTGCTTTCTTTTTCTTGCTTTTGTTGCTGAGCAAGAGGAGGTGCACCAGCCAGCACTTCTGCTGACTTTCTCATGCCTTGCCTAGTCTAGCTGTTTTTTTCTCCAGTTCTCCAAACTTAGGGGAAAATTCTATTTCCTGCAATATTGAATCTGCTTTTTGTAGAAAACCTTTTGTGGACTAATCGGTGTTCTCTATTTACTAGGTTAAAATGCTGCTCCATTCTGTCACGCATAAGCTGGAATTCTTTTGAGGTGTAAGTGTCCTTCTGCTAGAGCTGTTATTTAGACTTGATTTGATAGTGTCCAGAAATTTCTTCTTAATGTGTTCTCTGCTCTGAAGAGAAAAGCTTAGCAGCAAAAAGGATTTCTAATTTTGATAGAAGTGATGTTATTTATGAGTTCTTTGGCTGAGGAAAGTTGAAGGTTCTTGTCTCGGCTCTCTAACTGTACTATAGAAAAAATATTTGGTCAGCAATTCATTGAACATTTTGGAGCTGTACTTTACCTCTCGCGGAAGTACGATCCTAGTGGTATGTTTAGATGAATTTGCATAGCTGCAGAATTTGCAACAAAGCTGATATACTTTGTTGTGAAGATTTGAGACCCTTACGCCACAGCTACCAGAGTGCACAGAAACCATTTTGAAGCAGCTGTTCTTGCATTATATAGCTGAGCCAAAATATAAACTAGTCATCTTCCAAGAGGTTATGCTCACTGCCAGACTCATATGTGACTGAATTTAGAATGTTCTTATTTTTAAAGTTAAAAATATTACTTAATTTCTGCCTACCTTCTTATGTCTCAGTTTGAGCATCTGGTTTCTTATTATGCTGAACAAAAAGTGTATGCCACATGTGTTTATTCATCTTGGCTGTGCTTTCTTGCTGTCAAACATTGCTCTTACGTATTTAAAATCTTTCTTTGAATAACCATATGAGTTTTGGTTGTAGGCAAACCATTTATTCACGATTGTATTCTATTTCATTTTATTACTTACTAAAGCTAATAAATTAATGTTCCTCTAGAGTTAGTATCCAATGAATTCTGAAAATAATCATGATGCTTAAGTTATTTTTCCATTTGCTGCTATGAATCATTAGAACAGAGAGAGGACAGCCAGGGCAAACATTTGGATTTAAAGCAATTGGCTGAACTATGGTCTCTCCCATGGGGTCCTTCCTGCTCCTTTCTGCTAAGCACGTTTGGGTTTCCTACTGTAGCCCCATCACAGCAGGGGAAGCACATCCTGAAAATCTTTTTCTCATTCAGTTGACAATTCTTGCTCAGTTCTTGATCCCATTCATGTTTAGAGTCTGGATTTCCATCTCCATGCTGGAAAAGTCCTCAGGGAGAGTTTAGGAGGAACCTCATTCCAGCCTTTGGCTTCTGACATTCCTCCCTCTAGTCTTGCAGCAATTTTCTAGGAAGAAGTCTTTGTCAGAGAAAATCTGAGATTATTCTAAGCAGTTCTTGAGAGCTTTCTTTTCTAGAAGTGGCTGTTGGTGGCAGAACTCCTGCAATTCCTGTGTTGACTGCAATAAGCTTCTTTTCCAATTAAAAAGGGTGAAGGAAGCGTCTCTGAAGACAGGGCATCGTTTTCTGGGTTCCCCTTCACTACTTCTTGCATCAAAAGCTATTCAGTAGAAAACAAGGATCTTCTGTTGGGGAAAAAAGAATATCTGGAGTGTTGCATGTTGGTGGCTGTGCTTTCTGAGGGGAGGAGATTATGAGAGAGAAGACCTCAGATTAGCATCTGCTGAATCTATTCAGAGGTGGAAAGCATGCTGTCCATTTTTAAAAGCATTTTTTTGAATCCCAAAAGATCTGGTTTGGAGATCAGCATATTGAGATTTTTGAGACTAAGCCCTGATGCATTTATATGAGATTTTTGTAGACTGATAACAGAAATTATCTCAGAACATGGAAAAAAAGGAGGTTCAATGATACATGCCTACATTTGTCTTTCTCAGTGACACACTTTTTATTGTTTTCTGTAGCATACACTGAGCTAACAAATAGTTAATAAATTTCAGAAGTAAATTGGTTCTATATGGAATGCCCTTATAGAATCAGGTACCTGTTTATCTATACCAGATGGTCTGAAGGCTCATTTCATTAAGCTTGTGGTTACTTGTAAGCTTCAGAAATCTCTGAATCTGTCTCTATCTCTGAAATCTGTTAAGTTGCAAAATGTAATTCACACATTTTACTGATACCTTCTCTTTCTCTTTTAGAAGCTTGATCCTCTGAAGAGCTCCAAGATATTTTTTTAATATTTCTTTCTTTGCCATCTTTAATATTGGATACAGAGCATTACTTCAAAATAGCTTTAATTAACATTTATTAGGCTCTGTATTTTTGAAATGCCTCTGAACTTTCAGTCAACGCAGCTTCTTAACTTGTTTTGTGGCAGCAATCCTGTAATCTTGAATACTAGGCAATATACTGAGATTGTTGCTGGTCTGACTCCCAAGGGCAGTGATCTGAGACAGGCATCTCTAACAGATTCTTCAGAATGTAGCCTGACTGGATGTATACTCCTTTGTTTTCTAGCCTTTAGCTAAAATGTTAGAACAAGACAAAACTAGAAGTTTTACAGACTGAAAGCTGTTGAAAATTACCTGTCTTGTCCTGAATGTTTGGATCTGTATTTTGGCCTGTAAAGAATGCCCAGAGCTTACTGCATTCAGAATGTTTAGAGGGGAATGATGTTAAAGAATGCGATTCAAAGCATAAGTCTTTGCAAAGGCTGGCTCTGCAGAAACAAGTTAGTAAGTTTCTTTTCTTTGGTTTGATTTATGCCATAGTAATTAAATGATCCTATCTACTCAACAGTTCTTTGCAGTGTAGTTGTTCTCTGGAAAATGCAAGGATCTTTGTAATGTGCATTTACTGTCTAGGCTGTTAGCCTAAGAATACGTATCTGCTGACTTTGGTGGAAAATTTTTTAAGCTGCTACAGCTTGGTGTATGTTACTGTTCCTGTCCTGCCTTCAGTCCTGAAAACTTGTCCTTTAGGCGAGTAGGCTCCCCTTTGAGGTATTGGTTTTGATCTCTGTCTTGCAGTTTGCTCTGTTCATGGACACAGTTGTGGAATTAGCATTCCTTCTTGCAAGTGGAAAGGTTTTAAACCTCAATATTTTTTTTCTGTTGTTTCCACCTTCTTTTGAGGTTTTTGTTTGTTTGTTTTCATTTAATATTAGTTCTCTTTTATTTTATCTCTCACAACAGATCTGTCTCTTAAACTGTGATCGGTCTTTCTGCATTATTCATACTTAGATTTTACTTTTTCCAATGTGCAGTCTACCCACTTCCATTCAAAGGAATTAGCATGGTTTGCAAGCTCCTGTGAGACGATCCTTTATTTTCTGTGTATCCTCATCTTTCCAGTGTACCTTCATTATGGACGCTAATGCACTTCTGAAAAGTTGATAATTTGTTTTGACCATATCTTAAGCATGTAAGTGAATATGCTTAGTCTGTAAGGTTATGTTTCTTTTTATAATCCTGCTTTATTTTGGCAACTGTTGCCTGCCTAAGGATACTATCTGGGAATTGGACAGATCCTTCCCTTAGCAAACACAGCTGGAACACCCTGTTCAGTAACTGAAACATGTTTCCCACTCACTATTCCCATGTGGTTACTACCAAAATCTGAAGAATCTTCTAACAAGCTCCTCTGCAGCAGTTCCAAGGGAAGAAGAAAGCACAAGCAATATCCAGCATTACGTGTGCAATATGATGAAAAGGCTTGCCAAGCTCTGCCATTTTTTTCTACAAAAATGTTTTTGTTTTAAACATGCAGAAGCCTATGCTATTAGGCTCTGGAAAATTGTGGAGCCTTTAAAAAGTCATTCCTCTGTGTTTCACAACACATGCGTACCAACTCCCTTTCGGGTTTATATTAATCAGCAGCAGTGAAGTGTGTCACACAGTTTAGAAGCTGCTGCATTTAGAAGAGAAACCAGCATAGAATGCCACATGAAATCTATTTTAAAATATTGAACCTGCAAACATATGTGTTTTGTAAAATAATTAGGAAAAAGTAGTACAAAACTACATTATAATTTATCCTAACCGAGACCAGTGTGTAATCTAAAAGCTGTTTATTTTAGAAATAGTTTGGTGGTTCCATTAGAGATGAGAGTATAGCTTTGTCATCACTTTTTCCAAGTGTGTGCAACATGCAGTGCTGCTACTATGAAAAAACAGGTTGCATTTTTGATTCCTGAAAAGCGAGGAACAGAAATCCTCCATTTTAAATAAGAGGCATAATATGCCTTTTGGCTTCCATCAAAATGATATTAAGAGTATGGTCAGCTGTTTGGCATTAGAAATAAGTTTTTCTGAACATCTACTTTTTCTTTTTGAAACCACAGCTTGGTGATGACTGTAAAGATTAGGTTATGGGACTACGCCTCCCCATTTTTGCCTTTGGTTATTTTGTCCTGGCTTATGGAAAGAAGTGTGGACAGAAACTAGTTGCTCCTGTGGCAAGGAGTCTTGCCCATGGACACAGATTTGAAGGCAAAGATGGAACTCTGCAGTAGAGTGCTTGTTGCTTAATTGGTATGCATGCAGTGCAAAAACCAGAAAATGTTACTTTTTTTTCTTTTGGGGCTGGCAAATCTGTCTGTCCTCTCTGATAGTTTAGGGTTTCCCCTGCTCCTTTCTGCTCTTCAGAAGGTAATTCTTATTTTTAATTCCAGGAAAGTTCGAGTTATGTTGCAGGTTCCAAGTTCAACTGTGGTTTTAAATAGTACTGACAATTGGAAAAGTTTCCTTAATTGTAGAGATCTGAGTAGCTTCTACTTTCTATTTGCAGAAGCAGCATATTGGCACAGATCTCCCCAGTCTCTCAAAGCTCAGGTTCACATGTTTATTTGTCCTTTCATCTCTTTCTTTTTGAGTATTTTACGAAGACAAAGGGGTAGAAAGTAATTTTTTACTTTGTAGCACTTCAGGAAAAAAAAAAAAAAGTGATTCAGAGTTTGCCCAAAAGTAAAAATAAATCTCCTTTCGGTGTCTTTCACATGTAGCTATTGAATTGAACAGGAGTGTATTCTAAATGTAAGAAATATTATAGGTAGTTTGAAGTTGGTCTTGTAGGCCTGAGAGTTGACTTAGTCGACCATATCATGGCCTGTGCAAGGAGGATTCATTCATTACAAGTAATAACTTTTGAAGATGGAAGGATATTCACTGTTGTGTTTTATTCCGTTCAGGAGAAGAGTATTGTTACTGTACTTGGGATTAAGCCTTAAATATAGAAATGGTTTCCCTTACTGTCCTGTTGAGCAAGAAGTGCTTTAATTCTGCTGTTTGAGTAGAGTTAATTACACGCACTCCAATTCTCGTTAGTTGTTTTTTGTTTGTTTTTTTTTTTTGTCTTCTTTTAGTGGTTTAGATAGAATGCTTATGCTGTTGTGGAAGGCCAGAATACTTCTATTTCTCAAGTGTGTTCTGGTCCCAAGTACATTGTTTTTTCCTGTTGTTCTTTTCTTTTGTTTTGCTTTAAAGGCTTGTGAGACAGCTTTAAAAAATTGGCTGCCTAAATTTTCTTTTCTTTTCTTCAAAACTTGGATTATTTGTCATGCTTGTTTGTTGTAGTAAAAATTAGTATTTCATTCTGATTAAGGAATGGGTGGCATGACTTTGTTTGAGATGGTGAAATATGCTTTTGGTTTTGAGATGAGAAATTTGCTGATCAAACAGAGAATTCCTATGTGTTTTTCTTCTTTCTCCTAAAAAAATTTTGTTGCCTTCTGAGACAAAGGATGCTGTTCTCCGGACTTGCTAATATAATCAAATCAACTTAATATGGAGCATAACATTTTGTGATCAAATTGATTGCTTACACTCAGCTTTGACTGGACTATAATATGTTATAAATATATATTTGGGATATACTGAGTTCAAGTGTAGCTTATACTATTTTGTCTTGTCTGATGCTCTAGTTCCATTTGGAACAGTGAAACCCTTTGCTATTTTTAAATCTTTGAGCATCTCCTCCTGTAGTTACCTACTATGTAAGTGCCTGATATATATTTTTTTAAGTTTTTACAAGATTTTTAGCCAAACAATTTTTAAATTTCAAGAACATTAGCATATTTAATAACACTGTTCATTTGTTACTTTGCAATGCTTGCATAACAACTTTAATTTTCACCAGTTCTTTCACTAAATTATAGTGGTACTGAGTTTATCCCAGTGGTTCTTGTGTTGGCCTCCAAAGAGATTTAAATCTATTATCAAAGCCTTTTTTGGGCATTTGTAATGCCATGTTAAGTCAATAACCTGAAACTAAGTGTCTTTCTTATTTCAAGTTTCTGGATTGTCTTACTTTCATTCTTCTTCTTCTCCCTTACCTAAATGAAGAACAAGAGAGCTGAAGACTGAAAATGGCAACTTTAATTCTTGCACTCTTGTTTAACTACCACCAGAATTTCTGAACATGGTATCTAGAGAGAAGTGCTTTATCCCACTACTGATTTTTTTATGACATCTCCTGGTAATGCTCTTGAAAAATGTAATGCACTGTATTCTTTCATGCAGTAATGTAGGCAGTAGATAGGGTAAAAGAGAAAATCAAATATGGATTGTCTTGAAGTTAAAAGATGAAGAAGCACATATAGAAGTACATGCATCTTTATAAGCAAAAACTTTCCTCTAAAATACTTCAGACTTGTCTAGCTATGAAATTCTAATCCAATTCTAATTCTAGTGACAGATGCATGTGAATAAATACAAGAGTATAGTCCAAATAATGACTGAAAGACCAAATAATGACTGAAATACGGATCTTCCATTTAGCAGTAGTAATCACCAGTTTGCAATTATTAGCGTTATATACATATATTTTGTGAGAAGTATTTAGTTTTTTTAACTGCAAGACAAGTATCCAATAAGATTTCCCTAAAGCAATATTGATCATGAAAGGTAGAACACAAAATTTATAGTTCCAGTTGCCACACTGAAAAATCAAGCTTTGTATTGTTCTTTAAATGCAATATTAACATGCTTTATTGTCAACTGAAATTTTTACATTAAGAAGCTACACAGGGCTGTGTTTTTCACAGCCATAGTTATGGATTTGGGGTTTGTTTGTTCGCTTGTCCCTTTTATGAATGCAGATGGAAACCTTTGCTTCTACTCAAATTCTTAAGAAATGCAGTCAGTTATCATCTTGAAGGTTTAACTGTGGATAGCTCTTATGCCATGAATTGTTGGTTTAAGAACTGTGGAAGTATTCTCCTTGACTGCTGTGTCAATGGTTTGATGTAATTGTGGTGTTACATCTGAGTCTTTGCTACTTAGTGTTGAAATATACAAGGGCTGCACTAAAAGTAATACTGGCCAATGATAGCAGAATCAGGTGTTTGCAGGATAGCAGTGAAGTTGAACCTTCCCACCAACATTTCATTAAATTTTGTTGCCATGTGACAGATGACAGCAGAAGGACAGTGACAAAATGACATTTGAAATGGAAGTGCATATGAGGCAAAGGTGTGTCAATGAATTCATTCATTTGGAAAAAATTGTATCCAGTGACATTCATCAACATTTGCTGAATGTTTAGGGAGATCTAATTGTGGATGTTAGCACAGTGAGATGGTGGGTTGTGCGTTCCAGCAGTGGTGACAGTGGTGGTGGGTCTCCTCGCTTAGCATGCAAGCTCCTGTTCATTGCTGGCAAAAAACTGCAGATGGAGACTGTTGAAAAGTTGTGTTTTATAGCTAAGGATTTGCCTTATCAAATAATGTTATTGTGCTCTTTGTATCTGTTGTAGCTTCCATGGGAACAAATAGGAGGCATTACTTTTGGAACAACATTTACATGTGTGCTGGTAATTGTGGGGAAGTCTATACATTCAAATTTGTGTTGAGAAACTTAGATTGATGTTAAAATGGTTTTAAGTTGAGGGAGGGAAGATTTAGGTTGGATGTCAGGGGGAAGTTCTTTACAGAGAGAGTGGTGAGGTGCTGGAACAGGCTGCCCAGAGAGGTTGTGGATGCCCCGTCCCTGGAGGTGTTCAAGGCCAGGTTGGATGGGGCCCTGGGCAGCCTGGTCTAGCATTGAATGTGGAGGTTGGTGGCCCTGCATGTGATAGGGAGTTTGGAGATTAATGATCCTTGAGGTCCCTTCCAACCCGGGCCACTCTGTGATATGTCTATATATGTGTATATACAAATATACATATACATTTATCCTTCTAAAATTTCCATATTAAAAAAACTGAACCAGGTGCTGGCTGAGTCTACATTTAGCATTGGAAACAATAATAGCTATTAACTTTCTGGACTTCTTGTTCTTTTATTCCCCAAATTGTTATTGATTTTTTTTCCTAAAAGTAATTTGTTAAATCTTTAGGCTTTCTATGTAATCTCTCTGTTGGCTATTAATGGATTTTTGATAAGCAAAAGGCTATTTGGAGAGTGGAATGTTGGCAGGAGATGGATGGAATATTTGAAATGCTTGGTTTTCATCATACTATGCCTATTCTTCACAGCAGCTTCATGAGCAGAAGATGTTCTGAGATTTGTTCAGTAATTAATTTATATTTTATAGGAATAAACATAGATTGAAAAATGCATAGATTAATATTCGTATACCTATGCAGAATACATAACACTATCCCTACTTCTAGGTTCATAATTTAAGGATTTTTTTTTAATTATTTTTTTAAATGATGCTGAAAGAACATGACTAGGTTGAAATTACAGGGCCAGTGTCTAATGTTGTGAATGATACTTTGGAGAAGTAGACTTCTCCAAAGATCATAGTACACAGTACTAGTACATAGTACGTAGTACAGATCATAGACTGTATTTCATCCCCTTACAGAGCAAGGAGTTGAATTTGGATATTGGCTTCAGTTTGTGTTAAAGAAGGGGAGTGTTTTTTTTGGCAAGTTAAGAGAAGTTTTTTGCTTCCATGCATCTGACAATGCAGTTTCTGTTTATTTGGATGCTTTGTTTGATTTTATTTTATTATTTTATTGAGAATTTATTTGGATGCTTAAAATCAGTGTTGTGATGAATACCATAATAGTATTCAAGCCTAAACTTTGGCTTTTTGCTTAGATACCTAAAAATTGGATTAGTCATTTATTATTGGAATTGTGGCATTCATTTTCTATAACTGGTGAAAGATCTTAACTAGCTTTCCTCCAAGCTTGTTTGGAAATGGGAAAATGTAGGGGAAACAATACACAATTAGCGAAATAGTATTAAAAGTATGTCAAATGGTTCTTTACAAGTAAAATTAAGTAGCACCATTTGGAATAATGGAGAAGCTGTTTTCTTTGTACAACCAGTAATAAATATTTTTCTTTTTTTTTTTCTTTAGGTTCTTAATTGTTACAGACTATTTGCTGCAATGTCCAGAGTTGGTAAAAGCCCTCTATGCCAAACTGAGCAATCAAGAAAGGTAACCCCAAAACCAATGTGGCTTTTAGTATTTAGCATTCCATATAGAGTATCCTGTTCACATGATTGAAAAACTGTGTGGTTTCGTAGTTGGCACAAAATCTCTAAATACATGTTTCCATGTCAGTAATGGTTTTAAATTGGTTGGTTAACATTACAGTTTAGCCACAACTGGCAGTGATTTATGTAGGGTTGCAGAATCCAGGTTGGCGCCATTACTTGGTAAAGAAATACTTCAGAAAAAAAAACAAAAAAAAACACACAAGACTTCATGCCTGTGCCTTGATTTCATAAGAGCACCACACCCTGCAGTGTTTTACAGCTATATGTCAAATGTCTTCATCTGTTCATGCTCCCACTGTATTTTTAAGAAAAGAAAAAAAAGACTTTACTGAACATGGAAGTATACCTAGTGCTGGTTAGTGGAACATAAAAACAAACAAAAGTAGATGTGCCGATGCTTGTGATAACTTAATCTTTTTAGTATTTCCAGAACTAAAAATAATAATAATATTAGAATATTCTCACATTATGTGATCCTATGTTTGTGTATTCAAAATAGCTACTTTCTTCCCCCTTTGCCTAGGGAAGTTGCCGGTAAAAGACAACACATTAAAAAAATCCCTGTGACTTATGTTTTTTTTCTGTAATTTTGATCTGTCTAAAACCAAAGTGTTATTACAAATGATCATTCAGACACAGGATAGAGAAGAAATATGTTATAAATTGAGGTAAATAGCATAGATATACAGGTGAGAGATGGGAATAATGAGGGATATACTGTTCTTCTTTCTCCTTTCATCAGGTTAAACAACTGGAAACAAAAAATGAAGTGTGTGCATACTGTGTCTGCTGATAGAGGTTCATTAACCAAGTGTAGAATTGCAAGGTTGGAAACGACCTGCAAGATCATCCAGTCCAACCATCCTCCCACTACCATTGCTATCACAAGCCTCTAAATATCTTGTAACTCCAAAGTGGTTAGTGGGAGAGGCTGTTTTTTTGTTTTAGTGATCCTCTTGAAGACAGCCAAGACTGGGTTAGGTTGTTTGTTTGTTTTATATCATAGAATCATATTGTAGAATCATAGAATGGCCTAGGTTGAAAAGGACCTCAAAGACCATCTAGTTTCAACCCCCCTGCTATGTGCAGGACCACCAACCACCAGACCAGGCTGCCCAGAGCCACATCCAGCCTGGCCTTGAATGCCTCCAGGGTTGGGGCATCCACAACCTCCCTGGGCAACCTGTTCCGGTGTGTCACCAACCTCAGATTGAAAAACTTCCTCCTAATATTTAACTTAAACTTCCCTTGTCTCAGTTTAAGACCATTCCCACTTGTCCTATCACTATCCACCCTCGTAAACAGCCATTTCCCCTCCTGTTTATATGCTTCCTTCAAGTATTGGAAGGCCACAATGAGGTCTCCCTGGAGCCTTCTTTTTTCCAAGCTTAACAATCCCAGTTCCCTCAACCTTTCCTCATAGGAGAGGTGCTCCAGCCCTCTCATCATCTTAGTGGCCCTCCTCTGGAAGAGTTCCGCGTCTTTCTTGCGCTGGAGACCCCAGGCCTGGACGCAGTACTGCAGATGGGGCCTCACAAGAGCCAAGTAGAGGGGGACAATCGCCTCCCTCTCCCTGCTGGGCACCCCTTTTTTAATGCAGCCCAGAACACAGTTGGCCTTCTGGGCTGCAAGCACTCACTGCTGGCTCATGTCCAGCTTCTAATCTACCAGGACCCCCAACTCATTCTCTGCAGGTCTGCTCTCAAGGAGCTCTTCTCCCAGTCTGTACACACACCTGGGATTGCTCAGGCCCAAGTGCAGCACCCTGCACTTGGCCTTACTGAACCTCATTACGGTTTCATGGGCCCACTTCTCCAGCCTGTCCAGATCCCTTTGGATGGCTTCCCTTCCTTCCAATGTATCAACTGCACCACTCAGCTTGGTATCACCTGCAAACTTGCTGAGGATGCACTCAATGCCATAATCAGTTTGTAGAAAGGACCCTGCTGAGTTCATTTCACGCACTGTACAGATGGTGATCAGCTATGTTGACAGGAAGTATGTTTGTGTAGGTTTATGGATTTTCACTGAATTTATCAATCAATTTATCAATTTAACAAATCATGTAAACTCTACTATGCTTTTCAAAAAGAAAATCACAGTTCAGTTGTGAATTTGATGCCTCTTGATTTACTGTCAAACACATGGAAATATATGTTGTAGAAAGTCCTTGCGTGTCTCAGTTAAAAAAAAAAAAACAAACAACAACCCAGCAATGGCATCTTTCTATGTAACATTCTAGAGTATTTAAAAATGCATTTTTTTGAGATATATGAGAAGACAAAACCAGGTCAGATAAACACATTTTGACTGTCATTAACTAGGGAAAAAAAGTGACAGTATAAACCGAAGCATAGGGAATTCATTGTTTCGAAACGAGACAAGGAGCCTTCACCGCAAGAGTGCCGCATTGGTGTCCAATAAGGCTGACTGAGCCAAATAAACGGAGAAAGGACGGATGCGGTATTGAGGTGTCTGGAGAAGGCAGCTTAAGCTCATGAATAAATGGTACCTCTCAGTTACAGTGTTTTCCATCATGCACATTAAATACGCTTACTTTAAATATATTTACCAAAAAGAATTAACTATGTTGAGAAAGTTTGTGAGTACATACGTTAGTAGTGACTCTTAAAGTTGGCAGTTGCCTTAGATAACCAAGTATATGCAGTTTATAACCACAATATTTGCACTATTTGCAGTATTTGCACTATTCAAAGCATTTCCTGTAATTGAAATCTAGTATATTTGTGATATTGTGGCCATGATGTGTACCATAAGTAGCTCTTGTTGTAGAAGTGGTTCTGTAATCTGAATTTCCCATTAAAAGACAAATTCCTGACTCTGAACAATTTTCTTTTTCATTTCTTAAGAAATTTAAGCAATTTGATGTTGCGTGCCTGAGTTTGCAAATTGCATGGAATAAGTACTGAGAAAACGTGATCAGCACTTCTAATGATACTCTTGCTCTGAAAAGTGTATGATGATGTGACAGTCTTCTATTTCTTTGCAAGTGATTACAGCAGAAACATGGCCATAGTATTGAGCCAAAAGACTGTACAGATACTTGAATTCTTTGCCAGATTTGAGATTTCCCTGCACATGTACGCAAGTATTTGGCAGAAGAATGCAGAAAAAGCTTACTCAAGTTAGGCACTAGTGTGGACAGTTTAAATTAATGCCTTGAAAGTCTTAATTACATTGTAAAACTTAAAATGCATACATCTACTGTCATTTTTAAGAAGGTTTCTTGCATTAATCAACAGCAACATTACAAAACAAATGTTTAAAATTTTTTAGGCCTCTGAACTATTAGATTTGGTTTGGATTAGTGTTCTCAGTGGATGATGTATTCACTGAACAAATTAACAGCAGTGAAATTGGTACTTGAGTAATGTAACTGGCACCACTTCCTGCTACAGGACTGCTGATGACCAGTGGCAGGTTTTCATTTGTGGTAATGTTTATAGATTTACAGACACAAAATAGCTGGAGTTAATTGTGGGATTATAGTCCATCCTGAATTTGAGTTTACGATCAGTTACACCTACATAAGGTGCTTACAAGTATTGTTACAAATCAAAAGAATTTCAGATTAAAAAAAACAGTTTTCATCAATGACATAGACGATGTCCTCAAGTGCACCCTCAGCAAGTTCGCAGATGACACCATGCTGTGTGGTGCAGTTGATACATTGGAAGGAAGGGAAGCCATCCAGAGGGTTCTGGACAGGCTGGAGAAGTGGGCCCATGAAACCGTAATGAGGTTCAGTAAGGCCAAGTGCAGGGTGCTGCACTTGGGCCTGAGCAATCCCAGGTGTGTGTACAGACTGGGAGAAGAGCTCCTTGAGAGCAGACCTGCAGAGAATGAGCTGGGGGTCCTGGTAGATTAGAAGCTGGACATGAGCCAGCAGTGAGTGCTTGCAGCCCAGAAGGCCAACTGTGTTCTGGGCTGCATTAAAAGAAGGATGTGGCTGCAGGGGGAAGGAGATGATTGTCCCCCTCTACTCAGCTCTTGTGACTCTTAGATGGTCTTTGAGGTCCTTTTCAAAACTGGTCATTCTATGAATTGATGTATTTTGAGAAAGAGGTAAATTTGTCTTACAGAACCACTGTTAGTGGAGTGCTTCAATGCTGAGATATCCCAGTGTTATAGAAAGAATGTTACAGTTGTCTGGCATTTTGGAAAGTATAAATGATTCACATTTGCAGTAAAAATTGTTGAATTATAATAACATTATGAAATTGTATGTTGCTGTTTTTAGTTGAGCTTAGCAAAACTTCACTGTACTTTGTAATAATGGGTTTCCAGGTACAAATTGTACATTAAGGTTGTAATTTGCTTGCAGATTCTGAGAGACAACAGCATGTTTATATGTGATTGCAAATACTTAATAGTAATTGTTCCAAGCTCCTGGTAGTTTGATTAGATTTAGGAGGAATGAATTAAATTTGGTTGGGGGAGTGGGGAACATGAGATTGACAAAGGTCTTCCTATGTGGTGCCAAAAAAAAAAAAAAAAAAAAAAAAAAAAGGAAGATAACACTGCACTTACTGGCACAATCAACTCCAAATAAATGTAATAAACACATGCGTTTGTATTCAGATATTGAATGAAAATTCATGGTGAGACATGCTAAAACTGGTACTTGCATTTGTCATGTTTTGTGGCACTTTATTGTTAATTGTTTGCATTTAGCTATCATCTGATGGCTAAACAACTGTGAGATCAGATAAAAGAAATTAGCAAGTTTTACTATTTTGGAGAAATAACTTGGAAAAATTCTAGGGAGCCTTGGAGGAAAACAGGAACAGTAGAAGAAAGGAATGTAAGGGAACTTGCATTAGAACAAAAAGCATTGCTCTCAGGAAGTTTTGGCTGAATGCCAGACTTGCTGGAAATTCTGGGGAAAGATGAGCATGTCCTGAAATGACTGCCTGGAAGACAACTCAATAAAACAGTTCTTGACATACAAATACCTCAAGAGAACAGAAAATCTTCATATACTGCCTGCATGTAATTTCTTTTAAATATCACTGTTATTTCTCTCCAGAAAGATTATGGAGGCCTTACAGGGTACATGATTTTATTCCAAGAGTAAGAGTAATGCTAAAAATTTTCTTAGCAGTAATAACTTTGTATCACTAATGCAGTTTATGTAAATATAGGGTGACCCTCTAAATTCTTTACAAAAGAATTGCTTGTCTGTTTTAAACATGGCTTTTTGGTTTACTGGTGCAACAGTAGCTGACTGGTGTTCTGTTACACAGGAGATAATATTTTATGGGAATAATTCCAATACTCATAAATTCTATGAGGAGCTTTTCTTTCATAGCTTAACGTACACTTGAAATGCTCAAAACCTGGTAAAAACAGATGAGTAATATCTAGCCCTGTTTTGGGGATGAGTGAAATGTCAATGTAGTTAGCCTGATTTTAGTCTAGATTGTCAAAGCTGAAAGCCTAAGGTTGTTGGTTAATGGTAGGTTGTAGACAGGAAAGCTTGTGTTACCCAGTTTTAACCTGCTGAACAAACATGATGACTGTTCTGTGTTGTTATTCGATCATGTTTGTAAGTGAAGCCTGTGAGAGAGTTTACCAGTGTTTGGTAGACTTCTGACTTAAGTCTACCCTTCTGCAAATGTGTTGAGTACATTTCTGTGCTACCACATTGAAAAAGCATTTTGTACTCATTCAGATAATTGTTTAATGCAGCTATATTAATGACATTTAAGGCTAGGTTTAGCAAGAACTGATTAACTGTTACTTGATCAGTAGGGGTGAGGTTAATAAAGCAGTGACCATGCTGTTTCCACAGAAGATGACATTTTTCTTCTTCTTCTGACAATTGGCTTGGTGAATTTAAAAAAAAAAAAAAAAAAGAAAGAAAGAAAAACCATCTGAATTGCTCCACTTATGTAAATGTCAGCCTTTCTATTTGAATTGCAAATATTTTAGCAAAATAGCCTACTGTTGAATTTGTTCAATAAATAGAGCTCTTTCAGATTGAGAGAATTACAGTTAACTCCACTAGCCCATGCTCTCTCTTCAGTGCTGGAGTTCAACAGCAAAGCTGTGGTAGAGCCTCTGCCACTTTAAAGTTCTCTTTTCTCAAAATACTCTGAGTTTGCCATGATAGCGTGAAGGGACATCAGAAGTAAAGCAGCATTAGAATTGTTAAATTAAGTGACCTGAGTACTTAGCTGAGCAGCTATGTTATGTATCCACTTTTAATAGGCTGAATTACTCTCCTTGGATATATGAATAATTAACTTGAATTTACAGTAATCCATCTAGTGACAATTATAAAAGAGCCCAGTGTACATGCGAGGTCTGTTCCAAAAGTAATGCCTTCTATTTTATTATTTTGGCATATGATGTCAGGGATGAATGTTGGTGGTATGGCAGTGAAGGTTGAACCTTCTCAGCAACATTTCATTAAATTTTGCTGCCATGTGACAGATGACAGCAGAGATGCAGTCTGACAAATGATGTCTGAAATGAAAGTGCATATGAAGCAGAAGTGTGTGAATGAATTCCTTCATGTGGAAAAAATTGTGTCTAGTGACATTCATCAACACTTGCTGAATGTTTAGGGAGATCTAATTGTGGATGTTAGCACAGTGAAATGGTGGGTGTAGTGTTCCAGCAGTGACGACAGCATGTGAAGTACAAGCCATGCTCCAGATGGCCATGCACAACTGTCACACCACAAAATGAAGAGCATCTCCATCAGTTGATCACAGGGAACTGTGTATGAAGCTGAATATTGGCTGCAGTACGTTGGAAACATTGAGGGCAAAGTTGGAATATTGCAGAGTTTGTGCAAGGTGGGTCCCACAAATGCTGGGACAGAAAAAACACTGTCTGCAAGTTTTTCAGAGCCTATTGAGCCAATATGAGGTGACAGTGTCTTGGATTGCATCCTCACTGATGATGAGACATGGTATCACTACTACAGGCTGCAGTCAAAATGACAGTTCTGGAGTGGCGACATGAGAATTCCCCTGCAAAGAATAAGTTCAAGGTGCAGACCTCTGTGGATAAAGTGATGCCTTTTGGGATAGGAAAGGAGTGATCCTTCAGAATTTACTAGAATCTAGACAAACTATCAGCCATTATCACTGACTACACTAAAGGCTTGAACTTCCTGAGAAGTAGAAAATCTTTCTTTTGCAATATGATAACACCAGGCCTGATATAATTTTGAAGATCTTGGAGCATGTTGCCAATCTTACCTGGATTCTCCTTTCACATCCACTGTATAGTCTGGATTTGGCACCTGCTGATTTCCATCTGTTCAGGCTGATGAAAAATGGAATGCATTGCATGGACAGTGTTTTCCTAGCAACAGTGCTATCACAGCAGCTTTGAAGCAATGGATCATCTCTGCTGGTGGAGATTTTTTACAAGTGCAGCATGCAGAGTTCTTATTCATGGCTGGTGAAAATGCATAGTAAATGATGGTGATTATGTAAAAACAAGTGCTTTGTAGATGAAAATTTGCTCTAACAAATAGAGTTGTTGTTCTCTTTATATCAGTTGTGGTTTCCATGGAAATAAATAGAAGATATTACTTTTGGAGCAACCTACACATCAATTTTTATTTCCTCATTTTCTTCTCTGAACTGGTTTAGGGTTGGGGAGGAAGATTAGTGGAGGACTGTGGAAGGCGAGGGCCATGTGGAAGCTGTCAAATAGTCTGTGTTTGGTTTGCTTAACTTAACAACAGTTTATAAAAGTTTTTTTGGTGGAAATTTTTGACATATATAATATGCGTAATAACGTTGTGTTAGAGCATAAGAAATTGGAATAGACCTGTCAAAAATATTGAACATCTGGCCAGATTGTATTCATCAGAGGATGAATTAAATTAATTGTGTGCAGAAATAAACCAACAAACAGGCAGTGATTGCCAGTGTTCTTTGTTTTTTAAAAATCCACTGTTAGTAGCACGCTCATTGTTTATATCATTTTAAGCAACTCTTTGCTTATTCAACTGATAATTCTGTAATGCTTAGTGAATATAATTAACAAGGTGTCTTCTGATTCTAGGGTTACTTTTTTAGAGCTGATAATGGCAAAAGTGAGTGAGAAGAACTCAGTTACCAGTGAAGAAATGCATGTGTTCATGAGACATGCTGATTTCCTTGCAGGCTGTTTCCAAGAGAAATGTGAAGCTGTGCTCAAGCTGACTTCTGCAGCAGATGCAGAAGATGAGGTATGACTAATTAAAACAAACATGTTACAGTATTAGAATGTGAAGTGGTGAATTACTACTTGACTGCATTCCCGAGCTTCCTTTGTATGGGGAAAGCAGTAATAAGTTCACAGTTAGGGCTGTTTGTTTTTGTACAATAATTGATGGTTATTTCAATTAATATTTAATATGCCAGTAAGTTCCCCAGCACTGATTTTTTGGAAGTGCATTTGGCTGCTTGTTGGGCAGATGTTCCCTGACTGTTCAGGACCTGGAACGTAAGTTCTCTTCATGGAATGCACATGTAATCAGCTCAATGCAAGGTTGCTGTCTGAAATGTATTGTGACCCACCATGGAATGGAGCGCTTTAATTGCTGACTCTTCCCTGTTTCTGTGTGATCTGGGGCTCTTTGGTGGACCTTCATTCTTCTCAAAAGGTGGCACTCCTGGGGTTAGCTTGGGTCCTCAGTTTGAAGTTACAGAGTTTACTGGATTCTTAGTGGCAAATAGCTCCTGTCTCCTGAGCCCTCAGACACTTGCCTCAACTCCAGTCCAGTTGGAAGAAATTTATTATTGCTTCAGACTTAATGAAGTGTTTCTGTTGAAGACGGCCACAATAAATTCCCTTTGCAGGCTAAATAGGAAAGATTTTATGGGTCACAAGTGGCTTGTGGGTTGCACTTTGGGAGCCTCAGATACAGAGCTGAGTTCTGGATGGTCTTATTTTATTTCCTTCTTATGAAGTATCCAAGAGTTGCTGGAAGCTTGCCACACCATTTTGTACTCTAAGAAGATTTAGACCAGCTAAGGGTAGAGGTCTTTTCAAATTATTTGGTGTCCAGTTTTTCCTTTGACTTTCAACAAGCTTCTCAAAGACCTAACCAATGCGTTTGGGAGCATAGAACAATTAACACCATATCTTGCAGTGAGCTTTTTTGTGTTGTGCTATAGATGATTGTATTCTAAGCAGGTAGAGACAGTAGTATCAGTCTCAATTCTTGATGTCTTTCATAGATTTTTAGTTTTTCAGCTCAACTGAAGATGTGTTGTTCTTTTAAGACAATGAGACAGAATACTCAAAGCCTGAGAAAAGAAATACACGAATTAGTTGAATATTAATGATTAATTATACTTAGTTTCAGAACTGTAATTAACAGATTTTCTTAACAATTAAAAGCTATATTTAAGAAGAAGTCACAACTAGCTTCTGCCTTGACAGAGAGCCACTGTAGTACACTGTGTGTACTACACAAAATACTTGGAAGTATTTTATGGGTAAGCAAAATCAAGCTGTAATAATTTATTTTGTAGAAATACTTCTGAACAGCTGTCATAATTGTAATGTGAGTGGAACATAGTGATTTTTATATGTTTCTACATGATGTGTTGCACTTCCTTACTTACTGTGTTTTTCTAGTTTAAATTTTACTAGTATTTTACATGTATTTTGAGAAGTGCTATGAATGTACACCTAAAATCACGTTAGGAGAGGTGATAGCTGGGTGCATAAGAAAAAAAATCACTGGAATGCTTTCCTTATTTTCAAAGAAGGGGTTTTCACTTCTTGTGCTTCCCCTGAAACATAGTGACTGCACCATCTAAGCTGCATTTCCAGACTTAATTGACTACTTCTGGAAAAGGTATCAGCTTGACATAAGAGGAAATACGCTGAGACAGTTCCATCTTTTTTTATTCTTCATTTTTTCCTTTTTATTCCTGTATGGTTCCGTTCCAAGTATTCAGTGGTTTCAGTTCTTGGAAAAAAAACATTTGTTTGCACCTAGCAGAAAGAGGCCTCTGTCCAGCTTGAATCTTTTGGGGCAGCAGTATTGAGAATAGTAATATTCTCAATATATAATGTCCAGCTGACACTGACTTTTTATCCTTTTCACAAATAAGTATGGTATATGAGAGGCTCATTTAAGGATCACAAAGTAAGTCATAAAGAGCTTAATATAGTGAGATAAATGGCAATAGCTTGTTTTTTTAAAGTGTTTGTAGATTGACTGTATGCATTTATTCATGATACATGCTTGCCATAGGTAAAAAAAAAAAAAAAACAAAAAAAACAAAAACAGATAAATTCATTAAACTGTTTCTTGTCAGAAATGATGAAAAACTGTACCAATTTCTCTTTGCTTAGGTAAATATTTTAGGTTTTGCCTAAGAATGGTATTTAACTGGAGGGAAAAAAAAGAGCAATTGTGTACAATGCCTGTCATTTAAAATGCTATATTCAGCATCTGTGATATTAAACTGAACTCTGCCTGGACTGCCATTTGGCCCTGAGGCTAAGTGCCTTTGTCAGGCAGTGCCTGCACTAGGAAGCTGACGTGGCCTCCACAGCTAGGAGGCCGCATTTGAAAACTGCCTTCTGGGAATAGTCATTGACCTGGCCCAGAATGCTGGCTCAGGGGTCAGGTCCACTGCTTAATTTATTATATGTAGATGCTGCTTTTTTTCCATAAGGAACATTAGGTCTTGTACCTTCTGTCTCAAATCAATGAGAAATTAATTCCGTGCTTCTGCAGTGTTCAAACCAATGTTTAAAATAGCTTTTCACTACAAGCTTGACTTCAACAGTAATTTGTTTTCACTAGTTTTCAGCTATACCTGTAAAATAAAACACTTTCCTAGATTTCTCTCTATAAAGAACATCTTCTCTGGGTCTCTCTGAAAATATGTTCAAAAAACTTTTCAGTAATTTCACTGCTTACTTCTCAGGTTATATCCAAATTGTGATGGCTGTCAGTTTTCAAAACATTTTGCAGTCTGAATAGTTTATTGTCTCTGAATTGCAAAGGAAATATCCTACCTTATTGCCTTTCTTTTGTGTAGCCATAGAGAAACCTGAAGAGGTTTGAAACACAGGTTTGAAAAAATATGTATGTGGATATGTGCAAAAATGTATGTGCGTTCAAGCTTCAAAAGTAGATAAGAATTTGTGACTTTATTTATGCTTTCTAAGCAATCTGTTCCTCTTTCCAAATCCAAGTGGAACAGTGGTGGACCTGAGACAAATCATGAGATAAGAGGAAGGAAGAGAAAGTAGTGCAGAGAAGTATGGAGAGAGCAGTGAACAAAGGTGTTTTCTTTTTTCTATTCTATTTCTTTTATTTTATTTTCCTTTATTTGTTTGTTTGTTTGTTTGTTTGTTTAAAGGACAGGGCAATGGGGTCGTGGTAATGAAAAGTGAAAAAGCATAAGACTGAGAAATAAGTAAGGTGTGGCTTTTCCCATTATTATCTACTACAGAGCTTTATCACGTAACTGGGCAGAAAGTGAGGTACACATAGGCAGCAAGGGCTGCTGTATCTTCCTAGAGTGATTTATGGCTGCCATTGACACTTGTTTGCTTTGCAGATGTTAAGCAGGTAACTCAGTCTTGTCGCAAAGTGTAACTCTGTGCCCAGAGAAGTTGCTGATTTTACCTCTTTGGAGGTACTGGGAGGCTGCACGGATGTTGTCCTGGGTACCCTACACAGGGTGTCCTTTCTGGAGCAGGGGTTGGAGCAGGTGGACCCAGAGGACCCTGCCAACTTAAACCAGTCTGTGATTCTATGATAAATTTTTGTCGCACAAAGGTCAGTGTTAAGTGTGCAAGCTGAAGAGGATGTTGGTTAAGTTACAGTCTTGTTACAGTGCAATATGAGTTGAAAAATGGAAATACCTTATTGTTTTCTTTGAAATACAGTTGAGATAGGCTAATTTTATTCTAGTACAATGACCAATTTATTCAGAGACTGTTTCTGTGCTACAGAAAGCACTTTATTGAATTAATTCAGGTCAAGTTGAGTTGTACACTTATGTTAAGACGAAATTTTAGCATCTGGCCTCTAAACCCATTTCTGTTGTCAAAGGTTGTTGGAAGAAATAAAAAATGTTATATTCGTAGTCTTTAACATTAAACACCATTGCTGATTATTTAAATTATGCTATATGGCTTATATTGATTCAAAAATATAATGATATTTGTTTGTAAAGGTATTCTTTTCCTGGATGTGAAGAAAACAAGACAGAAATAGTTAATGTCGTCTGTGTATGAGTCTTTTTAAGGCTACTTTCAGTTTACATACCACACCTTGTGTGGCATCGTCTTGCAGTCACAATACAGTTGTTGAGTAATATGTGTGCTCAAAATTTTACTATTCACTCCTATAGAAGTGGATTGTCGTTCTAAACATGTGTCAATATAGCCTGTGAGAAAATATAGTTCTCTAGTTGAATAAATAATGCACAAATAAGGTTGTGTCTCATACCTAACCAAAATGCTGCATCTGTGATCTGAATCCTATTTACCCAAGAATAATGTAAATTCTCGCAGCCAAAGTTCATTTGACCACAGAACTTTACAGAATTCCTGCGGATAACAAATTGGTGTCTTGCAGGCGGTGTTTGTGTCTTTAAAGTGGGATGGTCCTACTGAATAAAGTCAAAGAAAACATTTATACAGAAATAATTTTCTCAGCTAGTAATTTTCTGCTTTTCTGCTTGTGGAAGCTACTGTGTTTTTGTTAAAAACATCTGTTATGCCTCTGTTTTGTTTTCCCCATGATTTTTCAAGGCACGTATAACACTGTTAGACTGTAGGAAATAAATTATTTCAATGTGATACATTGTTGTATAAGGATCCCTTTCTTTATGCAAATTCTTAGTGGCTATCAAGAAGAGGAAAGGAGAAGGCAAAAAGAAACTGAGGTTCCAAGAGTTTTTGTCCTATAGAAGTTGAACTTCTATATTCTTATGATATTGTTCATAAAACATTTTCAGAAATGTAGCTTTCATTTATAGGAAGCCCTGGTTACAATTCGGCTTCTTGACATTCTTTGTGAAATGACATCAAACAATGGACAACTAGAGTATCTGCAGACCTTGCCTGATTTGCTTCGAACAGCCATAGGTAAGTGAAAGCCAAAGCGTTTATTAACTGTTGGCTTGCTCCAAATCATGTTGCTCTGTGAATGAAAACATGTTTTTCACAACTGGTAGCAATTTTGATTTTGACCTTCTAAAAAAAAAAAAAAAAAGAGATTGAATTAATGTACATTTTCAAATATTTGATGTGTTCCTGGAATTTGTTTGCTGCTCAGCTTGCTCTGTTGGCTCCTATTACCCAACAGAGCCTTTATTCAACTCTCAGCACTGCACTATTTATACAGTAAAAGTTGTGCGAAAAGAAGTGCTTCCACTGTTCTTCCATGAACTGAATGTGTGAACAAGTACCTCAAAAAGTGGAAAAGATAATTCTCCAAGCCTGTTTCCTTCTTTTTCCTGAATTCACGAAACTAAATACAGTTCAAGTTTTAGCCAAATTCTGTGACTTTGGAAGTTTAGTTTGAAGGAACCTTTCCTCTGCTAAGAAACAACAAACTGAGAGTTGCTCACAAATGAAATGAAGCCAAGATGGTCCACAGAGACTCTGTATACTCAGAGAGGAAGGAGAATGATATAACTGACATGACCTTCCTAAATTATACCACTGTCTCAGATTGACATGTAGTACCATTTTCTGAATAACTTGTGAAAATTTGATGGATGTTAAAGAGAAATATGTAATACTGAAGGAAAAAGAAATGTAACACTAAAATGTAAAATGTAATACTAAAAATGAATGAAACACATGTTAATTATGAATATTTTGAGGTATTCTAGAGCTCAGGATAAATTAAAAAAACAACCTCTGTATTTGATTACAGGGGCATCTAGCAACTACCATAACATAAATTAGTATTTCCTAGTTTGCACAGCTATGACAGTCAGTGTTTTGTAATGATAGGTCAGAGTGCAAGATGTTCAGGATATCTTTTCTCATACTACAGAGTTAGGAACAGATTGAAGAAGAGAGAAAAAAAGTAATTCCACAATTAATGCATATTTATGTAAGAATTGTTAACTAAAATAAGTTTTTCTAGAAATTTTCTGTTTTAAACCAAAAATCAGATCGTATTTACAATTCCACAAGTATCAGTAGCCTATAAATTGTGACTCTGAGAGCAGAGATAGTCAGAACTAGCCTTTGGACTTTATATATGAACTATGTAAGTGTGAAAAAAAGATTCAGAAGTACCTTCTGGCCTTGAGAACAGTCTTGTGTGGTTTACAGTAGCACAAATTGAGAAATAAAAATTTATAAAACTTTTGAGCTTATTTTGATATAACGCTAAAAATACGCAATTTCATTGACTTTCTTGAACCTAACAACTAGAAATGGTAGTAAAGCTCTGTGCAAAGTAATGCTAATTTTTTGCATGGAAAATAATTCAAGTGCTTTTGTTTTCTGTAGATACCCTGAGACTAACTCATCTTGCTGGAAAACAGACTGTAAATATTTTTACCACCACACATGCTATGACATGGCAAGAGGAAATTTCACATCCAGCTGTGGGTTTTAAAGCTCATCTCATTCGTTTGATTGGAAACTTGTGTTACAAAAATAAGGAAAACCAAGACAAGGTAAGTGTATTCTTATTTCTCACAAAACTCTCACATATGAGCAGATGTGTACCGTTATCGGTATTCCACATCATAACATCATGCAGTGCACTGGGAGTTAAGGAGTTAATGCTCCAGTTCCAGGTACCTGCTCCAGAAGAGAAGAAGAACCACATGCCCCAGAGGACTGTTTGCTGTTCTCTTACATTTCTGCTCAGAGGGAAAAGATGTAAAGGCCCTTCGTAGGTCATTTGCCCTTCTCTTTTTGATCTTGGCAGTGTGTGAGCTCCCTAGATCATCTCACCTCAGCAGTAGAGTAAGGGCTTCAGCTTTTGGATATTCTCTCTCAATTGTTTTATGAGCTTCAATTCTAATTATATTGTATTATATTGTATTATAGTGTGTTACCTTACATTCCAGTATCTTATTTAGTAAATTAGTTTGTTTCTCCTCAGGTTGTTGCCGCTGTTTTGATTTTAGACCCATCTCTCTACCCTTTTTCCTTTCCTGGGGGTGGATCCATGGGTCCCCCTGCCCCGCTAGTCACAGAACCAGGCTGAACCAGCCTGTAAACCGTTGACACTTTTGATAAATCGTTGACAATTACTGATAAAAATATTTTGTTGATCTATGGTTAGGAATTAAAATAGGTCTTGCAAAGTTTGAGGTTATTTTTGAGTGTTTTTGAGCTAATACAACAGGTGTGTTAACTTTTGTACAGAAATGTAGTATGTCTGTCTACATTTTCACAGAATCACAGAACTATAAGGGTTAGAAGGGATCTCTGGGCACCGTCTAGTCCAATTAGCCTGGCCAATACAGGTATTCTATAGCAGATTACACGTAAAAGCATCTAGGTGGGTTTTGAATATCTCCAAAGAAGGAGACATCTTCCAGTGTTCTGTCACCCTTACAGTAAAGAAGTTTTTCCTTATGTTCAGATGGAATTTCCTATGTTCGCTTCTGCCAACTGCTCCTTGCTCTTTCACTGGGCACTGTTGAAAAGAGCCTGGCCCCATGCACTTCAGTCCCACACTTCAGATACTTATAAGCGTTGGTAAGATTCCCCGTCAGTCTTCTGTTCTCCAGGCTGAACTATCCCAGGTCTCTCAGCCTTTCCATGTAAGGGAGATGTTTCAGGCCCCTATTCATCTTTGTGTCCCCCTGCTGGACTCTCTCTAGAAGGTCCCTGTCCTTCTTGAGCTAAAAAGCCCAGAACTGGATACTGTGCTCCAGATGCAGCTTCTCCAAGGCAGAGTAGAGGAAGAGGAGAACCTCCCTGGACCTTCTGGCCACACTCTTTTTGATGTGCCCCAGGATACCATTAATCTTCTTGGCCACAAGAACACACTTCTGGCTCGTGGTCAGCCTCTTGTCCACTGGGACACCTAGGTCCTTCTCTGCAGAACTCCTTTCCAGAAGGAGTTAGTCCTTAACCTGCATGAAGTTATTTCTCCCAAGGTGTAGGACTCTGCACTTAGCCTCAGGAGGCCCATTTCTGCATATCCATGCCTCACTGAATTTGCCTCAGTCCTATAAACTGCTTACCAGTGCCCAATTTCTTTACTATTTTCACGTTTGCACTTCATTTAAAATGCCTGAAAATAGATCTCATTGTGAAGGAAAATTGAATTATTGTTCAAACTTCTTTAATTTTTGAATTAGTATCACTGCTTTTTTTTTTTTTTTTTTCCCCCCCCCCCCCGTTGAATTTTTTCATGAAACTTCAAAAATATAGGTCTGCTTCTATCACATTACTTTGAACCTTTTATATTTGAAATTCCTGTGCGGAAAATAAAGGATTTTTTTTTTTTTTTACAGTGAGGAAAACAGCAAAATGTTTTCAACTATGAAAATCTTCCCTCCAACTCTTGTTAGACTACTCTAATTTCAGCAGGAATTGTAGCTGCAGAAAAATGCTGTCATATGGTTTGTTTGAATACTGAAAAGATCAAGTCGGTAATTGTGTACAAGGAAATATGGGGAGATTTTCCTTTATTCCTATAGGTTTTATTAACTCAAATAAAAGTTCTTAATGAAACAGTTTTTAGACTAAAGAATGAAAAGCATGGAAGAAAGACTGTATCAAATTTGTAGGAAAGAATATAACTATTTTACCTTCCCTCTTACAGTGCTCAAATGAGACTAATTTCAGCAAGTACTAACAGTACAGCAGTTAATAGTGTTTACTCTGCAGGAAGTTGCATATGATGAGATACTCTTGGTTTAATTCTGTGTTGCTAAGGAGCTATTAAACAAGTGAATACTGAAAAATCAGTAAGCTTCTACTTACTAAATATTTTCTTTGTGATTTCTTCATTTTACAAAGATGTTAGTTTCTTTTTTACATAAAGCCATTAAATCTGATTTGAAGAAACTGCAGCATTTGAAATTAGACATTTATAATTGGCACCAGGGTGTGATCATAGTGTATGTCCTTTTTCCTTTATTTTTTTTCTCCAGGTGCATAGAAAGTTCAAAAATCTGCTTCACAAGTGATAATAATGTGTGCACAGAGCATATGGATGGGAGATATGGTAATGATGATCCCTCTCCCTGTTTGTATTAATGTATTGAATGAAAGATTTTAATATTTCTGAAAAAAATTAATAATTCTATTATTGGCTTTTGTACAGCTCCATCTCTGACTTTTTACAATGTAATAGGTGTTTATGCGAATGGAATATGTTTTTGTGGAATACCTGGAATATTCCAGGTGCAATATGTGGAATATTTTGTGGAATTATGTTGAAGGATATGAGATGGAACTTCTCTAGGCAACCTGTTCCCACACCTGACCAGTAAAGAATTTCCTACTCATATCTAACTTAAATCTCTTCTTTTAGTATAAATTGTTCCCCCTTGTCTTGTCAATATTAGACCATGTAAAAAGTTGATCTCCTTCCTGTTAGAAGCTCCCTGTATGTACTGAAAATCTACAACAAGATCTCCCTAGAGCTATCTCTTCTCCAGGCTGAACATGCCCAGCTCCTTCAGCCTGTGTTCATAGGCAAGACACTCCAATCCTCTGATCATCTTCATGGCTCTCCTTTGAACCCACTCCAACAGTTCCACATCTTTATTGTTCGAGCCTGGGGCTTCAGCACACAGTACTTCACAGTACCTAATGAAGGCAGTCTGTACTTCTGTCTGGGATTATGCTGACTGAAGTGCAGCACCTTGTACTAGGTCTTGTTGATTCTCACTAGGTTCACATGAGGCAAACTTTTCAAGTTAGTGTAGGTCCTTCTGGATGGCATCCCTTCCTTCTGTTTTATCAACTGCAGCAGTGAACCTGTTGTCTGCAAACCTGCTGAGGATGCACTCAATGCCACTATCTAGGTCATTGATGAAGATGTTGAAGAGCACTGGTCCCAAGACAGACTCCTGGGGGACACCACTTGTGACTGGCCTCCATTTAAATATAAAGCTGTTGACCACAACGCTCTGGCTGTAACCATCCAACCACTGGACTGACTTTGGCTTACTTTGGGAATTGTATCCTCTTCAGTCAGTTCCACATGTTGCATGATATGAGAGGGTTATGCATGCCGTATCAAAGCCTCTTAAACAGCACTGTTTGTATCGTGACTCATTAATAAGCCGAGGCTTTCATACTTACTTTTTCTAGTATTTCTATGTAACTTTCAGTCACAGTAGGCCTCATTTCCCAGTAATAGTGATAAATGATGTGTCTTAACATATGATAGAGCAGTGCTAACACGAGGAGCACTAGTAACAGAGGTAAAGGAACAGAGAAAGCCAGTAGTGGAAGGATAATGCTTCTGCAAAAGGCTACTTCTCTATCTCTAGTTATGACATCCCCCTTCTGTAAGAGCAAAAGTTGTAGGGGCTTTACATACTAGTTTGTTGGCAGTAGTGAAAAGTCTTGTAATTAAAAAAATATATCTTAGTGTTTTATTACTTCATTTTGTTTAAAAGCATTCTTTGTTTTTAGAAAGCATTCTTTGCCTCCTACTTTGTTAGTTTAGGAATGCATTCGTTCCAACTTAACTTCCTCATAGTTTTATTTACACTATTATGATCAGTTCTGAAGATATAAGGGAGCGGACAGATGTTTAAGCTGTTAACTGAGATGCATTTATTAAAATAGGCCTTGCCAGGCTTACTGCTGAATTACATGTTTTGATATGCTGAATGGATTGGTATTTATAAGAAGAATGTTTGATAAAATGATCGTTTTGGACTTCAAAAAGTTGTGTACGTGCTGGCAGCAGTGTGTTCTGGCTTCTGTAGTGTGTCTTGTATAAACAAGAATTGTTATTACATGTTTTTTACTGAATTCTGTTATACTTAAGAATAAGCAACTAGTAATAGTAACTGATAACTTTATGATTATTACCTTTTCTATCAATCACTCCTGGATTTCATACACTTTTGCATGAAGAGAAGAGAGCAAATAGAACTGCTGTTCTGAAAATACCAGTTGTTGAGTTAGTTGCATGTGAACTCGCCAGAATCCTACATTAGTTGTGCAGTTCTACAGTGCTTATCCTCACTATAGGAGAAGGTGCTGAGAGTTATTGCTGTACATGGAAGGTGGTCCTGTATCTTGTATTTCATGCTTCCTTCACAAATACACATTTTATTAACTCTACTGAAAGAAAGAGGGTGGATTCTCAGGCTGAGCGAGGAGTGGAATTTGGCTGTTGGCTGATGAATGCAATTAATCTATACTACAGCTATAGTAGAAAGGAAACAAATACAAGACAAGTCATTGCATTTAATTTGCACCCGTTTCCCTGTCCATTTACAGGAGAATCTGCTGGAAGGTCAGATGACTGATTTTCTACCTTATTTTGACAATGTCACAACCTTGTTACTTTTCCCTAAAACTAAAATACTTAGATTAATTTAATACTGTGTCATCAGTACTCAGATAATCCACGGAACAATATAGACCTTGTTCAGTATTGTTTCAGTTGACTTTTCTATGAAGAGAGGAATTCTGTTGACCTTAATCATATTACCTTACTGGAGTTAGTAAATAGGGAAATGAA